AATAAAACTCAAGTCTTATGGTAGGTATAAGGACATGATTGACTTCTATCAATAATAATAATAATAATAAAGGGCAACAAAATATACATCAAAATATCATCCGAGCAGAAGTCAACTCATTTCACTGAACAACATGCGTCGAGTTTAACGCTAATTCGATAGATAAGTAAGTTCAATAAATGAAAGTCACTAGAAAGCATGATAAACTTACCGTTAAGTTTAAATTATCTAAACCCGCCTAATTGATCATACTATACTGAAATACTACATAAAATTACTCAAATTACCATAATTACTCTGCCCAACATGCATAATGAATTCGACCCAACCGTCGGCGAACACAAGTGAAAGCTAACATTTGAATTCCATGAACTTGTTTAGTCATCCTTTACTTTTAAATCAGCATACACTTTGTGAGATCAAGGAAGGAAAAGAAAACAACATAAATATACACCAGGATTTAACGTAAGAAAATTGGAAACAAAAAAAAAAAACATAGAGTCCAACCACACCAAGAAATTCAGTATTAAAATGGGGAGAAGTTGCATAGTTCCCCTTCTTACACTTTCTCTCTATCTCTCTTCGCTTCACATACTATTGTGTCCTTAAAATAGATAAGAAATGCACTTAAACACATTCAAAGGACGCAACCCTTTAAGTGAAATAAGAAGAAGATGACAGAAAAATTGCTTAGCCCTACTTGTAATGCTAAAGCACTAGGGCTAGACTGCCATAGTGCTCTACTCTCCTTCTCTAACCTAGGCATGAAGTGCGCGCTACAACGCTGCAACATACAGTGTAGCGACTTTGTACAACTATACTTGTTGTGTCATGGAGTATTCGCGGCAGTAGAGAAATAAATAGTTTAACGTCTTAGCATTATATGAAGATCCAGCACACAAGCATATTAGAAAAAGTGTAGAATTTATAAGGGACACCAGGTTTTTACGCGGAAACCTCTGAAAAAGGGGGAAAAACCACAGGGCATGTCCAAGTTTGAATGAATCCACTAGTATTTATAGTCGATTAGAAATGAGGCCCTTCCTTGGGAGATGACCTTGGCTTGAAGTCACAAATGTACATCATATAGAGCGCATTAAATGGTGGTAGTTATAATAATCAACATATACATGTTTGCTTGGTCGGCATGACCATAGTTGATAGGATAGATGTAAGAAAGACTGTATCAGGTAGGATACTAAGGTCAAAAAGACCATTGTCCGACAGTGTAGGTCGGAAGGACCAGAGTATGCAGGAGACCTAGGTGAGAAAGATCGTTGTCTGACGATGTAGGCCGGAAGGACCGTAGTAGGCGACAGAGGTTGGAAGGACCATAGTGGGCAAGAGACAGGGGTCCAAAAGACCGTAGTTGGCCTGAGATTGGGGTTAGAAAGACCGTTGTAGCAGGGCGGTATTCTGGTAGAACTCTAAGCATCAGATGATGGCCCAACAGAAGTTCGAGCCTCAGGTGGTGGTCCGGCAGAATCTAGGCATCAAGTGGTGGTCCGGCACAAGTTCTAGCCTGAAATGGTGGTCCGGTGGAGGTGAGGACATGAAGTGGTGGTCCGATAGAGCAATGACATCAGGCAGTGGTCCGGCGAAAGCCTAAGCCTCAGATGGTGGTCCGGTAGAAGTTCGAGTGTCAGGTGGTAGTCCGGCAGAAGTCTCGGCATCAAGTAGTGGTCTGGTGGAGGAGAGGGCCTCAAGTGGTGGCCCAAAGGAGCAACGACATCAGGCTTTGGTCCAGCGGAAGTCCCGACCTCAGGTGGTGGTCTGGTAGAAGTTTGGGCGTCAAGTGGTAGTCCGGCAGAAGTCCAGGCCTTAAGTGGTGGTCCGGTGGAGATGAGGGTCTCAAGTGGTGGTCGGGCGGAGCAACAACGTTAGGTGGTGGTCCGGTAGAAGTTCGAGCCTCAGGTGATGGTCTGGCAGAAGTCCGAGCCGCAAGTAGTGGTCTGGCGGAGGTGAGGGCCTCAAGTGGTGGACCGGCGGACCAACGACATTAGGTGGTGGTTCGACGGAAGTCTAGGCCTCATGTGGTGGCTGGTAGAAGTCTGTGCCTCAAGTGGTGGTCCGGCGGAGCAATGACGTCAGGCGGTGGTCAGGTAGAAGTCCGGGCCTCAGGTGGTGGTCCGGCAGAAGTCTGGGCCTCAAGTGGTGGTTAGGCGGGGGTGAGGCCCTCAAGTGGTGGTCCAGCAGAGCAACGATGTAAGACGGTCGTTCGGCGGAACTTCGGCGGAGGCGAGGAGGAGTGAGGAGGAAAGACCGATCTCCGATCTCTCTCTTGCTCTCTTGCTTGGAGCCCCCTTTCAAAAGAAATGAGGGGTCTATTTATAGATTTATGGAGTGACATGGCTTGTAAATATGTGAGAGATCAAGGGTAAATGGGGAGTGGTCGGATAGACGGCCGATATTGAATCCCTTGATTATAGACTATTTTATAAACATTTGAATGTCTTAGTGATGTCGGAATTTTGTTATCTTGGGCTTGTTGGATTCGTCTCGTTGAGCCGCTCGATTCAATTATAAGCACATTATGTTTGGAAACCGTTTGGTAATCTAAATTGTGGTTTGAACCTTTCAACAACGCTTAGCTTCTAACTCTTAATTTGGACTCGTTTGGGCTCAGATCGGGTTGGATTTGGTGTCGTTGGGTTTGTATTATTGAGACGCTTAGTTCGACTATAAGTTTGCTAAAATCAGAGTTCGTATGGTATCAATTTTGATTTAGGAAGTTTCAAACTTGATTTTGCATCGAGATTCATGCCCGATCAAGATATTTTTTTATGACATATCAATACTTACAGAAAATATTCTTTTCGAGGGTTTGAAATTGGGGTTTCAGTCAACAGTACAACCTTATTGATCGACACAATCAAAATCTACACAAAACTAACACACTTGTTAAAACCTACTATGTAATATAATTTATATTATATATAATCATTTTTTATGTAGCGTTTTTCATCAATCCAAGCTTATAAATGAAGGGTCATAGGGTAAGCCTAATGCATTGAATCATTTACATCAATATTAAACTTTCTATCAATATAGTACAATTATAGAGCTCCTCACTCAAATTTTCCTTTTCCTCTCATATTTTCTTATTATTTTTATCTAATCATGTTAGAAAGGTACTAGTGTCATCCACATATAAATTTATAACCTCTTCCATGTTGATGCTTTGGATATTGCATTTCCTTGGTTCAAAAGAAAGAATATCTAGCCATAATTGATGTGATAGCTCATCAGTATAAAACTTAAATATTTAATATATTGTAAGAAAGAAAAATTAGCGAACCAAATGTCTCCAAATTATCATATAAGTTGAGTTCTATTGATTTAAGAATAATTGACCAACTCTCTTTTTTTGGTTCTAGTGCTTTAAAATTCAAGATGCATGAAGATATGAGTACAAAATTAATAAAGATTCAATTATACTTTGAAGGAAGACCTAAGTTCTTAAGAGAGGTTACTATCCTCAAAAGTTTTTAGAATTATATTAGTTATCATGAAAATAAAAGATCATTTCTACACTCTATATTTTGCTAAGTTTAGAAAATAAAAGATGAGAAAATGAAGGGGAAAGAAAGAATAAAAGATTTTCAATTATTGTAGAATATCATCTTCATATGATGCAAGTGTTATAGCTTTAAAATAACACAATTTCATAGACATCAGAAGTTGACCACCACTATATCACAATCCAAGAAAAAAATGTTTTTAAAGAAATATTTTAGTTGTCAGTCATCGTATTAACCTGTACGTTGTTCATGATCGGATCATCGGACAACCAATTTGATTTTGCAAGAAACTCCTGCTTTCACTTGTAGTTTTTTTGGCAGATAAGAGATTTTTTTTGTCTAAGAAATGGTTCAGTTGAAGTCATGGCGGCGCCAAGTCAAGTTCTTTGCAGTCATATAGGTCATTCTCATGAGAGCAACACATGCATCCTTCAGAAGCACTAATAATCATTTTATTAAAAATTTTAATCTTTTTACTACAGGAAAATCTGTCATTACCGGTGGCTTTTTCTGGTGGAACTGGGCGAACCACGTAGGAAACTAAAACCGGCCGTTTATTTCTAGCGCCAAATATTTCTGGCGGTTTTCTCCGCCTAATATTAAAATAACGAAGCCGCCCCCGCTAGCCCCGCACACTTTGGAATTCGAAGTGACTATGCTTCAAAGCTCCAATCAATTTGTTGGAAGGGCAAAAGTGTTAAAAGTGTCACATTTTATTATTTAATATGTGATAAGAAAAAGACGCCGGAAATGCCGCCGAGCTGAAAAATTTGCAAACAAATAATATTCGGGCTTATTTCGTTGTAAACCGTCAGAATGTCACTTGAAAATAGGCCGCCGGAAACCAGCCGGTAATGTGCAATTTTCTGTAGTGTTCGTAATCAAATCTATTTGTTAGAAGACGGGATTGCTTCATTAGATTAATGCATACAACTGTCAATTTGTTGCTATGTTAGGCGATAGTTCTCTGAGTTGGTAAAAAAGACAACAAAGTTCTGTCTGTGGGTCCGATTTAAAAGCCACGTACTGAGAAGTCAAACTACTCTCACTTGGAAATGTGTTGAAGTTGGTAACTTTCAGTGGGCAGTCTTTATATTTTGTTGCTTGGCTTTGCATTCAAGCAGAAGCCTCAACAATGCATTCTATACATTCTCAACTGATTTCTATGGTATTACTTTTCTTTTCCTCACTGATGTTCTTCTCCCTTCCTTCCCTATATTGGCTATATAACCTTTTTGATAGCTGATGTGGATTTCTGAATCACTCTCTATAACAGTGGAACCCAGTAAATTAGGTTCAATATGGCTTTAGTTTGGCAATAAAATCATGAAGATCTCTGCAAATTAATAAGGTAGAACTTCATTTCATCACCTAATTAAGCAAACACAACTTCTATATAATTTCACTTTCCAAACTCACATGAATTAAACAGAAAACTAGTTAAGACATTGAGAGATCAGGAACACCAAGTAATAGAAGATGAGTCCCACTTTCATTTCATTTCTCCTCGTCATTTCTGCCATGATTGCACTCCCTGAGCTTGCCGCCGGCGCAACGAGGCACTACAAATTTGATGTATGTTCAGTATTTTATAGAGCTATAAAGATTTGATAAATATTGTTGCATGTATAATCCTTGTGTTGCAGATTAAACTGAAGAATGTGACGAGGTTGTGCAAAACCAAGAGCATATTGACCGTCAATGGAGAGTTTCCCGGGCCGAGGCTGGTTGCTCGGGAGGGCGATCAGGTGGTGGTCAAAGTTGTTAATCATGTGAAGAACAATGTGTCTATCCACTGGTATTTTTTTTTTTTTGAAAAATTCTTTCTTTGAAATGTTCTTTTTTAGTTTTTTGTTCTATGGTTCCTTAGCTTATGAGGGTTTCTGGAGGTAACAGGCATGGAGTTAAGCAAATACGGAGTGGATGGGCTGATGGGCCTTCATACATCACGCAATGCCCGATACAAACGGGTCAGAGTTATGTGTACAATTTTACGATTGTGGGACAAAGGGGAACGCTGTTTTGGCACGCCCATATTTCCTGGCTTCGGGTCAGCATTTATGGACCCATTATAATTCTACCCAAGCCCGGTGTTCCCTACCCATTTGAGAAGCCATACAAGGAGGTCACCCTTTTACTTGGTATAATTAGCTAATTCCATTATTACTCTTAGAAAATTTAATCTTTAGCATTTAAACATTTTCAAATTTTAATTTGGATATCTTGAATTACACGTAAGTTCATGTGTGTTTTTTTAAATGTATTTTAAAAATATTAATTATCAGTAAAAAATATATAATTTAATCACTATTAATCACTATATATATATATATAAATTTTTTAATTGCACTCATCTTAAAAGTAAATTTAATAATTTTGAGACTCATTCTTATTAGAATTTGAACATATATTCTGACATAATTTTTCTTTTCTAAATATCAAAATTAAGAAAAGCACATTATAAAAAAGATTATAAGAATATTGCAAGTTAGAATAGAAAAAAAAAATAATCATTCGAAGCAAAATATTTTTTTCTAATTAAAAAAAAAAATGACAGGGGAGTGGTTCAATGGGGACCCTGAGGCGATTATATCTCAAGCTCTTCAAACTGGAGCCGCCCCCAACATCTCCGATGCATTCACGATCAATGGACTTCCTGGTCCCTTCTACAACTGCTCGTCCATAAGTAATTCTTAAAACCCAAGCTTTTTTTATCTTTTAAGTATTGTAAACAAAAGATATTACATTTATGGTAGCAGGCGACGCATACCAGCTCAACGTACAGCCCGGAAAAACATACCTCCTCCGCCTCATCAACGCCGCCCTCAACGACGACCTCTTCTTCAGCATCGCCAACCACACTGTCACCGTCGTCGAATCCGACGCCACCTATGTCAAACCGTTCCACACCAACATCATCCTCATCACACCCGGCCAAACCACCAATCTCCTCCTCCGCACCAAAACCTCTCCTTACCCCAACTCCACCTTCCTCATCGCCATCCGCCCCTACAACACTGGCCTCGGAACCTTCGACAACACCACCGCCTCCGCCATCCTCCATTACTCCACCACCGTTCAACCACTCGGTCGTCGCCTCCCCTTCCTCATCATTCCGCCGCCCCTCCCCTCCTTCAACGACACCGCATTCGTCGCCAATTACACATCCAAACTCCGCAGCCTCGCAACCAACCAATACCCCGCCAACGTACCACTCTATATTGACCGACGCTTCTACTTCACCGTCGGCCTCGGGACCAGCCCTTGCCCAAACAACGGTTCTTGCCAAGGTCCCAACGGCACCAAATTCGCCGCTTCGGTCAACAACGTGTCCTTCGAGCTGCCTTCCACGGCTTTGCTTCAGGCCTATTTTTTCCGGCGGTCGGAGGGGGTCTACACGACGGATTTTCCGGTGAATCCGCCATTCGCTTTTAACTACACGGGGACGCCGCCGAACGATACGTTTGTGGTTAATGCTACGAAAGTTGTGGTTTTGAAGTATAATACGTCGGTGGAATTGGTGCTGCAGGATACGAGTATACAGGGGATTGAGAGCCATCCGTTGCATCTTCATGGCTTTAATTTCTTTGTTGTTGGGCAGGGGACGGGGAATTACGATCCGGTGAAGGATCCGGTTAAGTTTAATCTTAGGGATCCGGTGGAGCGAAACACGTTCGGAGTGCCTTCCGGTGGATGGGTGGCGGTGCGCTTCCTTGCAGATAACCCAGGTGATATTTACGATTTGTGTTCTTCTTTTGTGTTTTTTTATTTATTGTTTGTAGGGTGTCAATATTTGACAACATGAAAATTCGACTAAAAACCGATCAGAAAATTTCGGGTTTGGGTCAATCCAGACCTGAAATGATCCGGTTCCGGTTGACCTAGTAACCCAAAATTGATCATTTGACATGGAAACCTGAAATTGACCCGTTTTGAACCGAAACATGTTTTTGACCCAAAAATCCAAGATTGACCTATTTTTACCTGCTTTTGACTTGAAAATAAAAGATTGACCCATTTGTTGACTCCAAAACTAACAATTTTTTATCAGTCCTAGGTCATTTGAGTTGTGTCGGATTGATCCAGACACGAAGCAGGTCGGGTTTGGGTCCAAAAAACTGTCCCGTTTGCCAAAACGGGTTGAGTTCGGGTTATCCCGAATAGTGCGGATCAGTTTCGGGTTCGACCTGAACCCGACCGGTGACCCAAAATTGACACCCCTAATTGTTTGAAAAATTGAAATGATATTCTTCTTAAAATTTAATTAGAATGAGTTTTGCGTTGAGTGTAATTATAGGTGTGTGGTTCATGCATTGCCACATCGAAGTGCACATGAGCTGGGGACTAAGGATGGCGTGGATTGTTCTGGACGGGGATTTGCCAAATCAAAAACTTCCACCACCGCCATTAGATCTACCAAAGTGCTGATCATAAAAAATCACTTATATTCTCGTGAAGTCTAACGAAAAAGCCTTGCTAGCTCTGACGATATGATTGAACTTGCACGTCATGAATGTTGCATCGATTGCTATTTTGTTTGCTTTTTTTTTCTTTTTCTTTTTTTGTTCGAGGATTTTGTACTTAAGGAGTGAATTTTTCAGCGTGTTGCCTATCCTGTTTGGAAGATTTAATTTGTTAAAGATCAATAGATTTGGACTAATTTTACAATATATTTTACTTGTAAATGGCTAAAAATAGAGATCTGGCAAGAAAATTTACATGGGTCTTTTCTGGTCGTAAGACTTGCACAGTAAGTAACTGTAGATTAGATATATATGCCACCAAAAGTTGGAGGAGATGTAATAACGTTCGATTCAAATAACTCGTAAGGCAACAACGTTGTTAATGATTTTGACAAATTGAGTGCAGGTTAAGATGATGAGAATAGAAGCATCTAGCTAGCTATAGTACTGGCGGGACCTTGTGTTGGTTGATCGTCTTCGGTTTTGTCCGTGAGTGTCTGTTGGTGGTGAGGGTTAGAGATTTTAGGAATCTAGTCTGACGCCTACTTAATAAAGATTGAGTAAGGGGGAGAAGATTGAAAGTGAGAGGAAGGCTTATGGCTTGTATTCTTAATTTGGGATTTTTGTTTTAGTAGAATAAACACATTTAAAATCATAATCAAAAGACACACATGTTTATAAGATTAAGTAAGAAACACATATGTCTACAGCTATTTGGGGATCAAATATTCTATTAATCTTAAGGAAAATACATAAAGATATATTGCATTTCATATAAATAAATAAAAAACTACTTTGTTTGTGTTAAAAATTGAGAGGGTAGAGAATCACCTAGGGGTGTCAATATTTGACACGATACGAAAATCCGACCCGGAATTTTCGGGGTAGACCCGACCTGTTTCCAAAACGGGTATGGTTCGAGTTCTCGGATTTTACCCATTTGAAAAACGGGTCGAGTTCTGGTTGACCCGACGGGTTGCTGGGTCAACCAAGAGACATGTTTGAATCTCTGCCCGCAAACCTGCCCGCCCCCTGCCAGCACGCCCGCGCGGCTGCCCGCGACCCCTCCCGCGAACCCACCTAGTGCGACCCAGCTAGCCCCGCACGAACCCTGCACGCGCACCCGCCCTGCGAACCGTGCAGCCAGCTTTCCCGGGTCGGGTCGGGTCAACCCTTCGGGTCGGGCCCGGGTTTGCATTTTTGACCCGTTTACCTACCCGGGTCGGGTTAGGGTCGACCCGTTTGAACCCGGCTCAGTTCCGGGTTCAACCCGAACCCGACCCGTGACCCGAAATCGACACCCCTAGAATCACTTATTATAAAGATTGGGAATGAATGTGGAGAATAAAACGTTGATCTTCTCTTAATTATTAGCTTGTGATTATGAGATACTTCAACTCAATACAATCATCTCTTTTTAAAGGGCATGGATATGACATGTAACAAATTTGAATTTGATAGCCACTATCTTTGAAAATCAAATTGTGAATGAATTAAGCTTGAGTTAGTTTAGCCACCCTTTAAAAAAATTAAATATAAATCGAGTTATGTAGCCACCATCCTAAAATTAAAGCGTGAATTGAATTATATAGCTAACATCTTAGAAAAACTAAGGTGAATAAATATTAAGTTTAAAATATTTAATAAAATTATGCTTCACACTTAATGATCTCTGAGTCAGAGTTTTTCATGTACTATCTTAATGAACATGTTTATACACATCTATGTGCGACAATTTCATATCATTATTGAAGGAGATTAATTGAAGCTTTACAAAGCCTTAGGTTTTCAGCCGGTTCCATTTTTATGAGCATATCAACGTGATGAGCTTTTATGCTAGCTTCTTCTTTAATCATATTGTGTAGTAATGGTGCCTGAGTTTTATTGGGAATAAAATACAACATTCATTATGTGATTAGGATATTTTAACAAAATAGAGTGACATCATCTTGAGATTGATTTAATTTTTCTAGAAAATCCTTTTGCAAAATCTTCTTCTTGCTGCCTTTAGTCATTGCTACATATTCAAATTATGATGTTAATAATACATGTCTTTTCTTTTGAAACAATAAAACCCAATTGATAGTAGTACCACCCAAGAAGTAGAAATTTCTATAGTGGTACTTTTATTAGTATATCGATTTGATCCTAGCTCCAAATCAACATGGCTTTATAATTTTAAATTAATTTTGTTAAAACTTAGAAAATTTTCAATATTATCTCTTAGAAAATGCATGCAATATCTTCTTCACAATTTCTCAATATTTTTTTTCTTGAATTAGACATGTATCGATCTGCTGAGTGCTATAATAGCATGTGTAGCATTTTGTTATGTCTAGACCCATTACATACATAAGAGATCCTATGGTTGACTTGATGCATAAGGCACTTTGATGTTTTTGTAGGTACGAATGAATGTAGCTTTACACTTTTAAATTAGTTTCTTTAAATTTTAGAGAAATATCAATTGTATATTTTAAATAAAGCTTTAAAAAAAATTTTGAGCTTGTTCAATTATGCAAATATATGAACATAAGCAAGCTTTATATGAATGAATGAGCTAGTATCGAGTTACTCATAGAGGTCATTTGTTCGCTTACAACTTTGCAAATAAAATTTAACCCTTATTGTTTGCCTAGTATATTGATTTGAGATAACTTGTTATCTAATTTGATAGCCCCATGCATTTTGCCTTCCTCAATTAAAAAATTCTTAGATGAGAGGCCTCACTTGTAATACATTGATATTTATTAAATAACTCATTGTTCATGTGGGAAATGTTTCTTTTTCATTGTTAAACCCTAGGAATGTATTATTAAAATTTTGATATGGAGAAAGACTTCATTTAGGTCTTTTAAATTAGTTCTTTACAATAGAGAATTTCTTCATGAGGAACTGCAAGCGGTCATTATATTATGATATATTTAATGAATGTTCAATTGCTCTAGTTTGGCTAGGTTTCTATCACATTAGGTTCCTTTTTGGCTATATGATTTTTTTTATCCTAGTCATTTTATTCAACAAACACTTAGGGCAGCTCCTACACAGCTAGGGGTGTCAATTTTTGACACGACCCGAACCCGACCCAGAAAAATTCGGGTTCAGGTCAAACCGAACCCAAAACGGGTTGGGTTTGGGTTGACCCAGCAACCTGAAATTGACCCAAAAGTGACACAAAAACTCATATTTGACCCGAAAACCCGATATTGACCCGTTTTTTACTTGATTTTGACCCAAAAATTGAATATTGACCCGATTTTTGACCCGAAAATTAACAATTTTAGGTCAACTTTGCGTCATTCGTGTCGGGTCGGGTTGACCCGGACCCGAATCGGGTAGGGTTCGAGTCCGGAAACCTTACCCGTTTTTAAAAATGGGTTTAGGGTTCGGGTTGACCCGAACAGTGCCGGGTCAGTTCCGGGTTCGACCCGAACCCGACCCGCTGACCCAAATTGACACACCTATACATAGCCATCCATTACTAGAGTGTTTTGTAAAATAGTTGTTCCACATCACTTCATTTATTCTACATGAATAGATTCAAAAGAATGTTAACATAAAAAAAGGTAGTTGATACAATATCATTATTATGTACAAATTGTGATTTTCTTTGGGCAAGATATCTACTGATAAATGAGTTAAAAATTAAATTGAGGAAAACATAACAAATTATAATATTCATGTTATAGCAAATTCAAATTTTATCCCTCAACTACTCCCAACAAATATTGTGGTTTCATTATCGTCTTTACTAATTTCTCGTAATCAACCCCTACATAGAGAATCAATCTTCAAATCAGTAAGATTAAATGATCGAGCACTTAATTTTGATTAAGAGATGTCTAATAAAATGTAAATTCTAACTAGTGAGTTGTTCAACATCCTTATCCTAGTGGATTCAACTTTTTGCGAATTACTTTCTCGCTATAAATTGTTCTACTTACTCATTCACCATCTCCACCTAATCACCAAGACATTTTTGCTACTAGACTTATGGCTCCCCTTGTTATCTCTTAAGCATTTGGCGGATCTAATTTCTAGCAATAACAATAATTTATTTATGATAATACAAGTCCTATGATGGCAACTAAAATTTTATGAAGAAAAAAAGTAAAAAAATTACACATTGAAATATTTACATAAAAATCATTCTGTTAACATAAACTAAATTGCAAATGGAAAGTGAGTAGAAAAATGACAACTTTGGAATGCCATTCTCTCTTCTAAGAAAAAAAAAATACAAACATTCAAATGAATATAAGTATTTAGAATTTTTTTTTTTGACATTTGGGACAATTAAGGTAATTCACACACATATCACATATAAAAGTTTTGAATCCAAAACCTCTAGTTAATAGTCAAAAGTCTCAATCAATAGATCAACATTTGGTGCAAGATTTAGAAGTAATTACATACGTACATTTGAAGTGAATATTGCACTTACTAGTTTATTTCCTTCATAACTCTTATGCACAATTAAATCGAAATAATTCACTTGAATTTTACTTCTTTGAATTAGCCCCAAAGATTCAGCTCACCTTGATATGTTGGTTAGGAGTTTTGACTATCAACTAAGATATCTTAGACTCAAGTCTTACATATATGATAGATATATAAATGTGCCTTAATTAATCTAAATGTTCCAAAAAGAAAAAATGCCCCTAAGCTAAGCTAGATTTGAAACGGCAGCCGCGACAAAAAATAAACAATTCAGATAAAGTTTCCTAGAGATTCCAGCGGCGGACTACAACCAACTAGACTTTTTAAGTGTTCAATTACATCCGATCTCTGAATTAAAGATTCCAAACCGTACGAACAGAATCTGAACATAGTGTGGACAGCCAAGCCCCAAACTATTAGGGTCAGAGCGAGAAAAGAAAATTATTGTATCATGATAAGAAAATAGTTAAAGAGCAAAAGGAAAAGCTAAAAAAAAAAAAAAAACATAATTAGGACTAGTCGATATCTTAATAAAATTGGAAAAAATAATTTAATCTTCTTAGATATTTTACTTATTCTTTAATTTTAAATAGTCATATTTATATTCTAACAGGCAGTACATCATTTTTTAACAAGAAAAGCATTCAGCCATCGTCCTTGTTCCTATAAGGAGAGCTATATATAGTTA